TGCCTTGTAGTCCCAGCACTTTGGGAGGCCAAGTTGGGTGTATCACCTGAGGTTGGGAGTTCAAGACCAGCCTGAGCAACATGGAGAAACCTGTCTCTACTAATACAAAATTAGCTGGGCATGGTGGCACATGCCTGTAATCCCAGCTACTCAGGAAGTTGAGGCAGGAGAATCACTTGAACCTAGGAGGCAGATCTTGCAGTAAGCCAAGATCGTGCCATTGCACTCCAGCCTAGGCAAAAAGAGTGAAACTCCGTCTTAAAAAAATAAAAATAAAAACAAATAAATTATTAGAAAAATGACCACAGTTGGGATGTCACAGCAATGTCACATTGCTGTAAGAGTCTCTGTAATGCATAGTCCAAATTTCTGTGCCTCACTTGTTGGACAATCTCGGCTCACTGCAACCTCCACTTCCCAGATTCAAGCAATTCTCCTGCCTCAGCCTCCCAAGTAGCTGGGATTATAGGCACCCGCCACCATGCCCAGCCAATTTTTTTTTTTTTTTGTATTCTTAGTAGAGACAGGGTTTTGCCATATTGTCCTGGCTGGTCTTGAACTCTTGGCCTCAAGTCATCAGCCCGCCTCAGCCTCCCAAAGTGCTAGGATTACAGGTGTGAGCCACCATGCCCAGCCTGTACCTTCTTGACATTCTGGGCACTGCGGTGGCTGTGAAATTCAACACTCACTTTCCAGGGATTATCTGCTTGATTTCTGGGGAGGATTTGGTCCTCTTCTCTCCTCGGCAGAGCCTTCTTTCCTAGACTCTGCACCCTCTCCTGGTCATCACTTCGTTGCCTCAGCTGCTACTCCTTCCTGTACGTGGATGGCTCCAAACGTGAGGGCTCTGGCCCTGGAAACTGTCCCTGGACATCTTCTCCTGGCTGCCCCTTAAGCTCATTGTCCCAGGGGACCCCAGGATATCCTCCTCCTCATCAGGTGGGAGGTACCCTCTTTCAGACCAGACTCAGAGGAAAGTGGAGTCCTTCTCTGCCTTCTCCTTCACCATTTTCCAGCACTGACATGACTGGTCTTTACCAGGGAGTTCTAAAGCAGGCCCCATAGCCGAGGCCCCATTTCTCCTTCTGTACCTTCGTTTCCCTGCCCTTCTCTTCCTTTCTCAGGTATTCTGTGTACTTTTCCTCTTCCTCTCTCTCAAGGCCTGTTTGTAAAAGGTTTCTACCAGGATAACAGACAACAATTTTCTTAGTCCTTTTGGGCTGCTTTAATGAAATGCCTTAAAGTGAGTCATTTATAAACTACAGAAGTTCACTGTTCACAGTTCTGGAGGATGGGAAGTCCAAGGTCAAGGTGCCAGCAGATTTGGAATCTGATGAGAGTTTACCCTGTTTCATAGATGGCGCCTTCTTGTTAAGTTATCAAATGACCAAAGGGGCAAATAAGCCCTCTCAGGCCTCTTTTTCTTTTTCTTTCTTTCTCTCTCCTTTTTTTTTTCAAATGCGGTCTCACTCTGTCACCTGGGCTAGAATGTAGTGGTGCAATTATGGCTCACTGCAGCCTCAACCTCCCAGGCTCAAGCAATCCTCCTACCTCAGCCTCTTCCTGAGTACCTAAGACTACAGGCATGTGTTACCATGCCCAGCTAATTTTTAAAAACTTTTTGTGGAGATGGGGTCTCCCTGTGTTGCCCAGACTGGTCTCCAACTCCTGGGCTCCAGCAATCCTCCCCCCTCAGCCTCCCAAAGTGCTGGGATTTCAGGTATGAGCCACCACACCCAGCCCTCAGACCTCTTTATGAGGGTACAGTCCCGCTTGTGAGGTTTCCATTCTCATGACCTAGTCACCTCCTAAAGACTCCACTTCTTCATACTATTACGTTGGGGATTCACTGTCAACATATGAATTTTGGGGAAACACAAACATTTGGGCCATGGCAACTCCTTTCCTCAGAATTCTTAGATGCAGACCACCTTTATCTGTTGCTCTACTCTTCCTGGGGATTCAGGATAGAGACATTTATTATCAAATTCCCTAAAATTCCTTACAACTATCTCTCCTCTCATGTTTACACTCCTGTTTACTCTTTAATATGACCTCTTTCAGCTCCAGAAATTGTGAACTACGAGCCCCTGGGTCTGGAGGCTGACATGTGGTAAGTTGGACAGGCCACTCAGGTGACCTAAGGATCCTTCCAAGGGCAGAAGGCCTGAGATCCTGCTCCAGGTGATATCCTCTTAACCGTGAAAGCCCCTTACTCCACATTCACCGTTCAGAGCCTCTGGCAGCTCTCCCAGTGTGTTAGACCTGCGGCCAGGGCAGCTGGAGGGCCACTAGGCCTGGACCTGAGGCCAGTTACCACCTGACCAGGTCAGAGCTTTGTCAGCAGTGGAGGAGCAAGAAGAGAGGCAAGGTGGAGGTGCAGACTCACCTCCGGGCCTCCCCAGCCAGGTTAAATATAATAGTAACAGTAACTCGCTCAGTCGGCCAGCCAAGTGGTCACTGAAAGTTCACGCATCGGGGCACTGTGCTAGGCCTGCGGATACTGTAGGGATTAGTTCTCTGCACAGATGCCACTCATTTCATTTGGATGCTGCTTTACAGTTGGCTGAGCACCTTTGTTACCTGGTTTTCTAAAATCCTGTTAACATTCCTATGAGGTGATTATCATTATCCACATAAGAAGAAAGGGCTCAGAGGTGGTAAGGGACTTACCCAAATCACACAGCCTGCAAGTGCAGGATTCTGACCTTGAACTTGGGTCCTCAGACTCAGGGTTCAGAGCTCAATGACTCCAAACACATCCCAGGCTGCTGCTGAAGGGCGGGATAGAGAGGGGTGTGGAGCATGAGACAGTATCTAGGAGCTGCTGTGGGGGAGGCAAGTGACCTCTTCCCCTTAGATCCATGCAGGTGTCCCTTGCTGGTCGGGGATTGGACCCAGGCGGTCCTGACTCAACTGTTCTTTATTTTACAGGAGCATAGGCGTCATCACCTACATCCTGTGAGTATCTCTGATCCAGGGTCTCTGGCTCAGCTTAAATATGGGGGAATCAGAAGGAATGAGAGAGGGACAGGCAGACAGACTATTTACTAAGTACCCACCATAATCCGGGTGTGTTAAGTCTACACAGGAAGCCTGAGGCTAAGCGCTGTGTGTCTATTTCATCCATCTGACCCTGGCATTGAAGTTGAGCAGACATCCAGGGGTGCAGCCTGTGCTCTGCACAGCCTGTGTCTGCATTCCTACTATGGAATGCCGGGGCTCCCCTGCCCAGCCTCCCCCAGACTGAGGTATACTGGAGAATGTCACTTTTCACTCAGACTCCTCTCAGAACTATTTTTTTTTTTTTTTTTTAGAGACAGAGTCTTGCTCTGTCGCCCAGGCTGGAGTGCAGTGGCACAATCTCGGTTTACTGCAACTCCGACTCTCAGGTTCAAGCAATTCTCCTGCCTCAGCCTCCCGAGTAGATGGGACTACAGGTGTGTGCCACCATGCAGGGCCAATTTCTTATTTTTAGTAGAGACGGGGTTTCACCATGTTGGCCAGGCTGGTCTCCAACTCCTGACCTCGTGGTCTACCCTCAGCCTCCCAAAGTGCTGGGATAACAGGCGTGAGCCACCACGCCTGGGCCCTTCTGTCAGAACTCTTGGGACAGCCCTGTGAAGCTGCTTATGCCCTCCCCAATCTTGCCTCTTCTTTCTTTCCCCATTTTCCCTCTTTTCCCCAGATTCCCTTTTCTTCCTGTCTCTCTTCTTCCTCTTTGCCTGTCCCTGAAGTATTCGGTTGCTTAGACAGAGATTTCCTGCATAGCTCCAGTGTGTGGTGAGTTACCTCTGGGGCTGGAGCCTGTAATACTATCACTTTCCACCTCTGTGGCCTTGGGCAGCGACTTAGCTTCTGGGCTTGTTTTTCTCATCAGAAAAATAGGAATCCCAAACTTCCCACCATGCGTGTGTTGTGAAAGCTAAATAAGTAACAAGTGCAAGTTTCCCAGCCCTGACACTGGCATGTGCACAGTGGGCAAGTGAGTGTTCATTCCATCGGCCCTTCCCAACCATTTTCCCTTCACAGCACACATGGAAAATACTATGATTATAGCACTGTGGAGTAAGAGTCAACCATATGGGGCAGGGAGCACCAGTGCTCAGCAGCTGAGGGGCTCATTCTCTCGGTGATCCCTGTGAGCCCGGTCTCTGACTCTCCCAGCAGCACTTGGACTAGGAGCCCTGTGTGACATGGTGGATCCCCCCGAGATGCAGCAGAGAATCTCAACCCTGGCTGCACAGGAGAGCTTTTAATACCCACCATGGCACAGGCCCCACTCCAGATCTATTACATCACAAGTGCTGGGGATAGGGCCTTAGTCTCTGTATCTTTTAAAACTCCAGCTGAATTTGATGCAAAGAGAAGGCTGAGAACCATCAATCTATAGTTTCAGATCAGAGCCTGATCTATAGTTTCAGATCGATCTATAGTTTCAGATTCAGATGTGGCTCTTGAAACTTTAATTTATTCAGGACTCTGATTTTCATATTGAAACATTAAGGAATCCCATGTAATCCCAGCATTTTGGAAGGCTGAGGTGTGCAGATACTTGAGTCCAGGAGTTTGAGACCAGCCTGGGCAACATGACTAAACCCTATCTCTACAAAAAAACAAAACAAAAAATTGGCTGGATGTGGTGTCACACATCTGCAGTCTCAGCTACTGCAGGCCGACACAGGAGGATTGCTTGAGCCCAGAAGTTGCAGTAAGTTGTAGTCGCACCTTTGCACTCCATCCTGGGCAACAGAGCAAGACCCTGTCATAAAAAAAAAAAAAAAAGGAATCCCAGTGTCTACTGAGCACTTAGTTTTCTTGTGGCTCATTTGAATTTAACGGCTTTGTTGAGGTCTCCTCCATGGCAGACACCGTACCAGGCAGGCACCAGGATACTGACGTGGAGGAGGGTCTTCCCTGCTTGCTGGTAATCCCTGTCTGTGGAAGACACCACACACCTAACTCACGCCCAGTGGGACCAAAGTTAGGCTAGAGGCTTGAACACACCTTTGTGAGACACAGGTGGGGAACCACCGGTTTGCTGAATTGTTGAAGGTTTATTGAGAAAGAAAGAGAAAGAGCATGTGATTGGTGGATTGATTTGAACTAGGATGTAAAGAATGAAGTTAATTCTGTGGGTGGAGAAGGAAGGAGGGGCTGTGCTGGCTGAGGAAACAGTGCGAGAAAAAAACGGTAAACCTTCAGTGTGGCTGAAATGTACCGAGCATGGCGAAGGACCAACTCTTACTGCCTTGCTGAGGAGTTTTGATGTGATCCTATAGAAAATGGAAAATCATAGAGGGTTTTTGTGTTCTCACAATGGCAGTGATAATGGCCATTAATTCCAGAGCCCTTAGTGTGGGCCAGGATTGCATGAAGGCTTTTGTATGCATTCATTCTTCACAATCATGTGAGGTGGCAATTTTATTTTCTTCATTTTACAGATGAGGAAACTACATTTCAGAGGAGTTCTAGCTTCACACAGCTAATGAGTGGCTGAGCTGGGATTCAAACCCAGGATTGCAATATCAAATTTTTTCCAGTGCACCTTACTGCCACCATGCTAAGAAAGTGGCTGTGGAGATGGGGATGACTTTTAAGAGATATTTAGTAAATGGAACCAACCAAAAACCTTTTGGCCAGGCAGATGTGGCAAGGGAATAGAAAGAAGGGTCCAAGGTGACTCCTGTGTTTCTAGCTTGGGTACATTTGTAAAGTTATGTCATTCATCAGGGGAGTACTTAGAATGGGGTTTGGACACAATGAGTTTGGGGCAATGGCATGTCAGATCCAGAGACTGCTGGATCATGCCTCTACCAAGGCATCCCATGAAGAACTGAAAGTTGAGTCAGGAGATAGTAGATATAGGAGTCATTATTTGTATGACATCCTTGACAAACCCTGTGGGGGAACAACACAGATCTTTCTAGTCCCTAATGGCCCCTCTATTTCCAAACTTGTGGGCTCTGCTCAAGTTGCTCTTGTAGCCCAGAAGGCCTTTCCATCTCCTTCTCTGACTGCTGACAACCTCTTTATTCTTCAAGACACAAAGCGATGTAAATATCTGTGCTACCATGAAGCTGCCCTGGGCCTCCCTCTTTCCTGTGCTCCCCTGTCCTTTGGCTGGCTTTCCATTATATTCTGCTCTGTCCAGCTGGGGAATCACAAAGAGCCACATCACTGTGTTTCTCTCCCCTCCGCTTTCGAGTCCCGTGAAGACACAGTTTCTCTCTGTCAGGTGCTTAGGAGAAGCTCCATGAATGTGTATTGAATTGGACACGGTTGAACAGGCTGCTGGTTGGCTGCTTAGAGGGGGCAGGCTGTGTTGCTGGGAGCCTTCCAGCTCCATGCAGCAGTCATGGGGCAGGGTTCCCCAAGTCTGCCATCCCCATTTCCATCTACCTTCCCTTAGTTACGTGGTTTCCTCTCTTGTATTCAGCCTAAGTGGAGCGTCCCCTTTCCTGGGAGACACAAAGCAGGAAACACTGGCAAATATCACAGCAGTCAGTTACGACTTTGATGAGGAATTCTTCAGCCAGACGAGCGAGCTGGCCAAGGACTTCATTCGGAAGCTTCTGGTTAAAGAGACCCGGTAAGAGGACAGAGAAGCCACTGGTTTCTCAGGTCTGATGGCTTCCTGTCGCCTCTCTCAAAGACCTGTCAGTGTGTCCCAGCTTTGACATAGCTGTCATCTGTACCGCTGTAGTCTAATCCGAGCAGGTGCTGGGAAGTGTGGCCTAGCCAAGACGTAGCATTTGTCTTGTTTGCTCAAGTCTTTCTGCTTTCTCCTCCTGCTGAAATGTAAATAATGTGTGTGTGTGTGTGTGTGTGTGTGTGTGTGTGTGTATGCGCGCGCGCGAGCTGGAAGTCAGCCAGGGTTTCTTTAGGGCTCATTACCTTGTGCAGTCTGTCCCAAAGGCACCTGGATTTCAGATTTGAAAAGGTTAAAAGGCAGGGTTTTCAAGCCAATTCAGGTTGGGAGTAGGAGCAGGTGGGCTTGGAGAGGTCAATTCAGTGGGAGGGTGGGAGACATGCTAACCTTATCCCTTCTTCAGGGGCCAGGGTGAGCCCCATGGCAATAGGGCCAAATAGAAGATAGGCAGGTAATTGCAGGGTGCTGGGTACCCAGAGCATGACTTGGATGGGGCAGGAAGAAAGATCCACAGACCAGAACACCATGTCCTCTCCATCCCACAGACTTCAGAGACGGCCAGAGTAGGGTTGTCTGGAGTGCAAGGTCCCTGATTTTCCTAAGAGCAGTGTTAGGGAGAGTCACTGACCTGGGTACAAAGCAGTGAAAGGCAGAGAAAGGATCCAGAAGGCAAACAGAAAAGCAGAGACCATGGGTTTAGCAATGGGGACCTGGTTTTTGGAGGATTCTGGAAGCTCATTAGCACATTTATGACTCTTCTTAGACCTTTCAGCTTTGGGACAGAAGGTATGGGTTTAGGTAACAAGGCCACTCTGTGGAGGGATCTGCCTGGACCACTTCCTTCCCCTAGATTACAGGATAAGCAGCCAGTTCCCATTCATCTCTGCATCCTCCATTCAACTGATTTGATGAGAGTGGCCAAAAAATGCTAAAATATTGGTCTAAAAAGAGTAAGAACGGAGATGGTTGCTCCCAGCTTCTGTCCTCATGGATCATCACTGTTTCTCAAACCTCTTTGCAGGAAACGGCTCACAATCCAAGAGGCTCTCAGACACCCCTGGATCACGGTAAGGGCATGGTCACAAGTTCCAATGGGCAAAGGGTCCCTGCTCTGTCGCCAGGGCTGGCCTGGGTAGCCAGATGCAGAGGGTCCACTGGAGAGACCTTTGCTTGAAGCACTGACCCTGGGCACAGATGAAAGCTAGCCAAGGGCCCCAAAGGGCCTGGGCTTGTTCAAATAGGTTTATTTGCTTGCTATTTTAAGTTTGTGTCTCTCATATTCAGGTAACTTATGAAACAAAACCCTCACAAACCTCAGCTGAAACCCTTTTTCTTTGGGGCCACCTTACACAGTGTTCTTTGTTGGAGGGTATGTCACTGTCCCTTCTCCAAGTGGAAATCAGGACTCCCCAGGTGTAGAGAGATCAGTGACAATTGAAAACCACAATGTGACTAGGCCTCCTCCTTTCGGATTTTGGGGCTCTGAGTCAAAGATGGCACTTAAATCAGCCGTCCAGCTCCTCAGGCCCGGAGGAATGGGGCCTGAGATGGAGGCCTGGTGGGGAAGAGAGACAGCCACTGTTAGGGCAATTCTTTTCCCTCTGGGGAGAGTCGGAGCAAAAAGATGGATTCCTGCCTAACTCGCCTTGCAGTCTGGCTTCCAGCTGCTGGCTTTCCAGAGGGTCTTGCGTCTGGTGTAAAGAGCACTTTGAGAGGGTTGGACGCAGCAGGATTCAGGCTAGCTACGCACACCCAGGGACGTCACCAGACTTCCCGTTAACCTTAACTGTTAAGTGAGAAGGCCAGCAAGGATGAAATGACCATAAGAAAGGTAGAGATAAGAAAGGGTGAGATAGGCTGGGCACAGTGGCTCATGCCTGTAATCCTAGCACTTTGGGAGGCCGAGGCAACAGGAGGATGGCTTGAGTCCAGGAGTTCAAGACCAACCTGAGCAACATGCTGAGACCCCATCTCTCTAAAAAATAATAATCAAATAAAAAGAGAAGGTGAGGCCTGTGGAAGACAGAACAGGGAGGGCTGGAGTAGTCTGGGAGGAGGTCAGCTTCATCTGCTCAGCTTCATCTGCTCATTGAAGGAAGGGGAAGGCGCAAGGAGCACCAAAGGAGAGATGCTCCTCAGCCCCGCTATGTGAGCCCTGGCCTTGCACGCTCCAGCCCTGCACAGATGCCTGCAGAGTCCTGGCTGCAGCCTGCTTGTCTGTGTGAGCACCCCTTAAATGCTATGTGTGTGGAACCATCTCTAATGGCCGTGGACCCCTCTGCCCTGAATGAGCATGCAGGCAGCACCCCATACTCCTTGACCTCACTTATGGTCTGTGGGGGTGCTCATCCCACCCTGGTTCTCCCTGTGGCCTGACGCATGCAGTGAACACCAGAGGCCATGTGTGTGCCTTCTGCCGGCCCCTCAGACTGCCTTCTGGGGCGGGCAGCAAATTAACACTCTGATTCTTCTGTCTGAACACCCACCAGTCAAAAGGAGAAGTCAAAGCCCCTGAACAGCACAAGACAGAGCCCACCCAGCTAAAGACCAAGCGCCTGAGAGAGTACACTCTCAAATGCCACTCAAGCATGCCTCCCAACAACACCTATGTCAACTTTGAGCGTTTTGCCTGTGTGGTGGAAGACGTGGCTCGGGTGGACCTGGGATGCCGTGCCCTGGTGGAGGCCCATGATACCGTCCAGGATGATGTGGAGGCCCTGGTCTCCATCTTCAATGAGAAGGAAGCTTGGTACCGAGAGGAGAGTGAGAGCGCCCGGCACAACCTGTCCCAGCTCAGGTATGAGTTCCGCAAGGTAGAGTCATTGAAGAAGCTGCTGCGAGAAGACATCCAGGCCACGGGGTCCAACCTTGGAAGCGTGGCTAGGAAACTGGACCAGGTGAAGGCCCAGTTTGAGGCTCTGAGGCAGGAGCTCTCCACAGACCTGCAGTGGATCCAGGAGCTGGTGGGCAGCTTCCAGCTGGAGAGTGGGAGCTCCAAGGGCCTGGGCTCCACATTACGCCAGGACACCAGTGAATCCCTATCAGAGCTGCTCAGCAGATCATGCACCGAGGAAATTCTGGCTGGCTGGAAGCTCTGAGCGCCAGAGTCCAGTCAGTAATGCATCCCAAGAGGTTTGCGGAAGCATGTTCTCATCTACCCTGCTGCAGCATCTAGCTAGAATTACCCTGCAGGGGTTTGTCTGTAGTATAGCCTTCCATCCCCTCCACAGAATCCAGAATCACTGAGGTGCCAGTTCGTTATTCATTCTGCACTTCCCCTTACCACTCTGGTTTTCTGGGAGGGTGCTGGCAGGGCAGCCAAGCTGTTAAAACAATTAGAGAGTGAGTACCCTTCAGGTTCCCCTTCTTCAGAGGAAGGATGGCTGGCCCTAGGGAAATGCTTGAGAATTGATTTGTGATGAAGGATTTGTTCACATCTCACTTTCTGCCTACATACCTTATGGCTTGTAGATCTTGGGTAATATTTGATTTAACTGCAAATAACTAAGTCAGCATGGTGCTCTCCTGCTACAGAAGCAGGGATTTAAAATGCATACAGAAAATAATATTACCTTCCATTTGCATTGATTTTTCACTTACTGAGCACATTATGTCTGACAGATGACCTTACTTGATCCTTAAAAGAACTCAGTGAGGCCAGGCATGGTGGCTCAAGCCTGTAATCCCAGCACTTTGGGAGGCCAAGGTGGGCGGATCACTTGAGGTCAGTGGTTCAAGACCAGCCTTGCCAACAAGGTGAAACCCCATCTCTACTAAAAATGCAAAAGTTAGCCGGGCATGATGGCAGGTGCCTGTAATCCCAGCTGCTCTGGAGGCTGAGGCAGGAGAATTGCTTGAACCTAGGAGGCAGAGGTTGCAGTGAGCCGAGATGGTGCCATTGTATTCCAGCCTGGGCGATAGAGCAAGACTC